TATAATATCATTTATTCACTCGTTTCTCTAGTGGTCGTGACAGGGAAATTTCGGAAAACACTGAAATTTCTCACCGTAATCTATTGCCATATAAGAGTCTATACAATAATAAATCAATTAATTATAACGTATTTTCTAAAAACTCTATACCGAATCGTCCATACCATCAACTACCAATCACATCATACTACATATATGAAACAAAGGATGGATAGATAACCCGTTAAGCAATGGAAGAAACTTCGGAAACTTTTCAGAGAACCCCTGCAAGCACCGCAGATGATGGTACAGTTTATCAAGTAGAAGTGATGTATATCAAGCGTGTAGCAAGACGCGAAGCTTACAAAGTTCTAGATAACTTCATATATTACTACAGTAGGTAAGCTGCAACATTAGATATAAGTAAGAAATATGAAGGATAGAAGAAAAAAAGACGTTATAAAATACTCGATACCATCATATACGTCTATAACATATGTGAAGAATAGAAGAAAAAAAAGAAGTTATAAAAATCTCGAATTACCATTAAATATTAGTACATAAGATATTCTATAACATATATGAAGGGTAGAAGAAGAAAAGAAATTATTGAGATTTCAAGGAACTTTCTATATTTTCTGCTACGTTATATCTATGAGATGATCGATAAGTTTTTGAGATTTTTTTGTTAAATGGACGTGCTTTTAGTATTATTTTTATTAGTTGTTGTTAATGGGAAATGCGGAAATTTTGGAATTTACTAAAATCTGCTCTGAGTGGAAATCTAAACATACGTCAACTTTTCAACAATGTGGTACGATAAAAATAAACTGAAGGAAATAATTTATCGACATTTTTCAGTATAGCTATTTATTAAGCTAAGTCACGTCTTCAAAATGCGTCTGTCTTATATATATACATACAGAGTGACTCAAAAATCACGTACTAGAGAAATATTCAAACATTTTTCTCATGGCTTGAGCAAACAGACTCGGTATTTTTTTATTAAGGATAGAAGTATGCTCATATTCCAAATCCGTATAGACAAGACTAATGAAAACCTTTTTCAAGTACCATTATTGATCTCGTTAAGAAAATTTAACTTTTTCACAGATAATAAAAATTGGTTACAAAATCAGTTGGTATGTTCGAGTAGTAATGGAGATATTTAATTTTTTTTTTCATTAGAATTACTTTGTATTATCCCGTCTATTGTTATATCGAGTTTTTTTTATAGAAGAAAAAAGGATAGAAATCAAATAAGCACAATACAAACTAATATTAGAGAAAGAAAAAAACTGAGCGATGGAAGAAAGAACACATTTATATTTCAATTCTTATCTTAAATGTATTCCTGCATATTTTCTCCATGCAATTACAATATTTAATCAATATAAATTTCCTTTTTCATATTTGATGTATGATAAATGAAGCAAGTTTACTTTACTAATACTCGTCGAAAAGCCATTTCAAATAAAACATCAACGACACAATATAATAGAACAACTGAGAAATGTTAAAACGTCATCTATATACTCTAGCACTCAGATAATATAAAGATAAAGAATTTTTACTTTTTTTTCTTTTTCAAAGTATTGTTTAATATAAACTATAAACATGTAAAATGTGTCGAAAATCTCCAATAATTATAGAACGTTTTGTACACAATGCCCACTTTTGAATGTATTTTCTAAAAATTTTTATCTCATCGTTAAGTACAATAAAATGACTTACTCGAACGTGGTCACTTATCTTGTGAATAAACGATGAAGAACATGAAGAGACAAGATAATATAAAAAGACGAAAAAAAGAACAATTATCACAAACAAATGATATTAGTCACATTTAAGAGAAGAAAACTGTTACAGTTTTGGAAACTATTAATATAAAGTGTACGTAAAAATTGGAACTTGCATTATTAGAATATATTTTTTTGTTTTTATACTCAAAAAGAAATCTTCGATCTATCTCTAAGTTACATTTAGGCATTTTGAATAATGAAATTTACTCTGATATGTATGGTATACACTTATGATTAACCTTGATTTTTTTCATTCACTTTCTGTTAAAATGAAAGAGGAATATTATTTGCATTCTTTGTAAATTGTACAGTTAATCGATTAACGGTGTTTGCGTTGTATTGCAAACTTGTTATTAAATCACAAAATATTTAATCGATATTTTCTACTATATACATACATGCAGATATAGACTAATTGAAAGAACTTTTATCACCATGAAAACGAAGAGAATGGTAGAAAGTTATCAATTATTGCTGTTTAACCTGCAGAAAAAAGAAATAAAATTTATAATAGCTATTACGTTGAATAAGATTTTCTTAATAATTAAGGCAAGAAACGTTTGTCCGTTTGTCCAAGCTAATCAGATTGCAGCATTTTATAAGTCAAAGAAAACTTATCGGTGGTCATCAGAAAATGATTGACCAAAGGTAATCGGGATCGGGGAATCCGAATCTGAGATTAGTTTTTTGAGATTTTTTTGAGTTTCAAGTTTTTTAGACAAAGGATCACATTTTTACTAAAAAAGTTTTTTATAAAATTTGACCGAAGGGTTTTCAAAGTCGAGGAACTCGAATCTGACGTTAGTTTTTTAAAATGTTTTTGAGAAACACTTCTTTTAAACAAAGGACCGCTTTTCTTGGAGAAAAATGTTTTTTAAGAGTTGGCCGCAGAGTAATTGAGGTCGAGGAACTCGAATCTGATCTTAGTTTATGCAAATTGTACAAGCAAAAAGTTAAATAATATTGTAGAACACGTTTTCTACAAGAAAGAGCTGAGCGAGTCTCTGAACGAGCGTTACTTGTTAATAATAACCATAGAAAATTTTCTTTCAGAAAAGGGTCAGCGAATCCATCGGATGAGCGTTACCTTGTTTTTATGTGATTATTACTGTCTAAGGTATTGATAAAAATTGGTTATCATTAAGAACTCTGTTTTTAAATAGAATGAAATCTGTTTGTTAATTTCATAATAAAGTCGAGCTTAATGTACTTAGATTAGATGAGATTTTTATATTATCTTTTAGTAAAATTTCACAGAACTTTTTACAAGATTTTCTAGACAATCATGGCGATGAGAGTGTAGGTGACGCATAACTACTAATACTACTAATACTGTCAATAACAATAATAATAATACGATAATACTAATGATAACATTCATATAATATCTTGACTAAATATGATACTTTCAAGTTGTTACATTTTAAATTTGACTTACTTACAGGCAGTTACCAAAACTTGATTATTATCATTAGTATTATCGTATTATTGTTATTGTTATTGACAGTATTAGCAGTAGTTTGGTAGTATTATGGTTATAATTATGATAAACATTGTTATTTGATTAAATTGTTATTGATGATGTTCTTGGTGTTTGTTACTAATGATGACCGCATAGAAAATCAGTCCAGGTCGAAAACTCTAATTTCTATTTATTTATTTATTATTATTTCTTACTATAGTATATCGAATTTCAAATAAACTAAATAACGTTTCGCTGCATTTCTAATCTTATTTTTGACTGAATATTTAATTTCAAGTTGTTTCATTTCAAGTGTATGTTTCCCATGGTCTCTATCAGAACATATTGATCGTTTGGCTTATATTATCAAATGCACAATGAGGCAATGGTAGTCCCTTGAGGGTGTGGGTGCGGGTGCCGGTGTCGGTGTCGATTTGAATGATGGTGAAGAAGATACTGACACTCACATCCTATCCCACCACTCAACCCACACCTACACCCTTAACGAGTTCATTCACATGTTCAAAATTTAATACGAATAAATTATAAATAATAAGATAATATGAAAACAGAGAAGCAGCTTCTTTTATGCTCATTTCGCATAACAGAGGAAAGATGTCTTCAAATAATAAACTTAAAAATAAAAAAAATAAGCAACCGAAAAGAAAGAGAAAAGCAAATGCAACAACATATATATATATCACATAATATATGAATAATAAGATGTGAGAGAAGAACGAGATTACAGTTATAGGAAGAGCATTGGAACTTTCTGATGAGAACGGTTATGAAGAAAAAGAACAGAATTTTGTCTTGAAAGGTGTGGGTGTAGATGATAAATGAACAGAACTATATCAGTCACACTTACCGTCAATCACCCACGCCCACAACCGTTCAAATGCGGACAATAATTTTATGCTAATCAAATTCTAATTCATTGTTACTTCTAATCAAAAGCTATTACATCGAAATTTTATAGTTAAACAATCTCGATCTCGATATATAAATGATTTGTTAAAATTCGGAAGATAGATTTTCAAACAGTATAGTTGTTTATTATATTTTAAATTACTACATTATTTTCACTAAATCAATTATTTTATTGAAAAAAAAAAGAAAGTAATATCTGTTATCATTGTAAACTACTCTCTACTTGACTTTTTAAAAGTCGAATTTCACATTTTTGTTTTAAACATACATCTTCTAATTGATTGATTTTATTTTGTTTATCTTTTAATTTTATTTGTTGCTTTTTAACAAATAATTCTAGTAAATGATAACGTATATCAATTGAAAGATCAGTTTTATTCCATTGCTCAGCATCAAAATGATTTGTTAATTGTTCATAAATATTTTCTTGAAGTTTATTTAAACAATAAAGTTGTGCTAATGTTAATAAATCAAATAAACGTGTTAGATTATTACCATATTTATATGATATAGAATTAATTGTTGAAATAAAAAAACATTGAATATTCATCTGATAATGGTAATAAATACATTGCATTTGTATTATCAATAGGTTTTAATATGTTTGGATATGCATAACTTATGACATCAGACTTAGAAAGAGATTGTACGATTTACCTGCAAATAAAGAATAATGGATCTGTATTTGTTTTCTTTTTTTTCGGTATTACGGAATCTCTTTACAGAAATACCTTTTGTTGAACAAAATCTTCTATACTACCATTAGATTGCATCTCCAAATGTTATGCTTATACTTGTACACACCTACATCCTTACTTTCTAAGTTATTTAATAAGTTCATTATCTAAGATTGCTATTTTTTGTAATTTTTCTCATAAATCTTTAGCAAATGTTATTTCGAAAATTAATTCGTTTTATCCAGTAAATATTTCCTGGCCATGTTGCCTCCCAATTTGCTGGATCGTGTACATTACAGTTTTCGTCTGATGCAACATAGTCGAGTAATGCGAAAAATTTAACCATTGATTGATATCGACTTTTATACCATTTTCGAAAACCATGACCCCATTCCATTATTACAAGTTGTATATCGATTACTTCAAATACTTTAGAGCCAGTCTCACACATATAACTTTCCGATCCTTCAATATCAATTTTAATTACAGCAGCACGAACTTTTCTTTCAATTAATATAGGAAGTAAATCGTCAAATCGAATTGTTTTTACATTATAATGAGAGTCTGTATCCATCTGAGTATTATTAGTTAGCTGCAATCCAGCAGCAGATTCCTTGGTTAACCTTAAAATCTCTCCAGATTTTGCATAAAGTGCATTTTGAACTAAAACAACACGATTTTGAACGTTTTGAATTTGTACAGCTTTAACAATACGCTCAATATTCGGCATAAAACAATCAACTGATAGTGTGAAACGACCAAGTGCTCCAGCAGTAAACATAGTATAACTACCTATATTAGCTCCGATATCGATCACATCTAAATGCGGATTTTGTATAAGAATTTTTAATAATCGAGTAACATAACCTTCGTCCCAAATATGTGTTTGAGCGAGTGAGGTACTGACGGTATCTTTATCGTCATAAATACAGACTGTTGTATTATATAAATTAAGTAGTACTTTTGTTTTGATACATTTCACATCGTTCTCTAATTTCATGTAAGGGTCGATTATATTAACAGCTGATCCAAGAGATTTTATTGTTAATATATCATTGATCGACTGCTTCTGTTGTTTACTAGGTCGTAAACAATAACCAATTAATAAACAACAACAACCAACAACTAGGATAATTCGAGTTAGACTACGAACGTTCATAGCCATATGTCTTGATCTAACTATGTGTCGTTAAATAATGAAATCTAGAAACAAAATAAAAAAATATATAATTTGCAAAATATGTTATAATATCATTTATTCACTCGTTTCTCTAGTGGTCGTGACAGGGAA